CTAAATATTAAAATAAACTAACTAAATAATAAATTAAACTTTAAAAAAATTAAACTATTTAAAATTTTAAAAAAATTAAAAAAATTAATTATAAATATAAAATATTAAAAAATATAAAACTAAAATATTTAATATTTTATATATTATTATTAAAAAAAATATAAATTAATAAAAAAATAAAAAAATTAATTTTAAATAAAATTATAATATTTAAAAAAAAAATTAAAATATAAAAAAAATATTTACTATATATTAAAACCTAAAATATAATAATAAAATTAAATATTTAATTTAATAAGAAAAATATAAACTTATTTATAATATTTAAAAATTTATTAAAAGTTTTAACTTTTAAAAACTAATAAAATAGTTTTATTAAAACTTTAAATTATATTATTAAAAACTATATTTTAATTAATTATATTAACTTTACTAAAAAACTATATATTAATAATTACTTTTAACTTAATATATTTAATTTTATTTAACTTATTTAAAAAATAAATATTTTTATAAAATATTTACTTTTTATAAGTATTAATTTACTTATATTATTTTTATAACTTAATTAACTGTATAAACTTTTTATTTATTTATTAAATTAATAATATTATTTACTATTAATTTTATAATAATTTTTATTTTATTTAATATTTTTATATATTTATATATTTTTTTTTAATAATTAAATATTATATTATAAAATTAATATAAAAAATATTAATATAAAATAAAAAATCATTTATTATTTATTAATAAAATCCTATTTTTATTATAAATATAATTATAATATATATACTTTTTATACCTTTTATACTTAAATATTATTTTATAAAGTAATTTATTAATTTTATAATATAAATAAAGTATAATAAAAAATCTAATAATTTTAATTATAAATACTACTGTTTTATAATTTTTTAAAAACTTTTTAATAATAAAAAACTATTAACTTTACTTAATAATACTATAAAATATTATTAAAAATAAAAAAAAAAAATTTACTTAAAGATTAATATAAAAGTTTAATATATTATATATAGGCCTTAAAGGTAAAATTATTAAAAAAGGGATATTATATTATAACTTAACTAAAAGTATATACTTTTTAAGTGAAATATAAAAAAAATAATTAATTAATATTAAAGATTTTAAATTTACTTTAATATATATAATTTAAAAAATAAACCTTAATATTAAGGTTATAAACTTATTTAATATAAAAAAATATTATAATATAAACTACTAAAAATAATTAAATATGTAAGTTTATTTTATTATATATATTTAAATAATTTAAATAGCTAATTATTAATAAAATATTAATATTAAATATAAACTATATTTTTTATTTTATTTTTATATATTTATAAATATAATTACTAAAAAGTTATTTTTTATTCTTTTTATTAATATAAACTTACAGCTTAAATTTATTACCTTAAAAACCTTTATTTTATACTAAAAATAAGGATTAAAATATTATAATATTATAATATAAATTACTTAAAATAATTAAATATATAAGTTTTATTTATTACTTTTATTTAAATAGTTTAAATAATTAATTATTAATAAAATATTAAAACTAAATATAAACTATACTTTTTATTTTACTTTTATATATTTATAATTATAACTATTTAAAAACTACTCTCTGTCCTCTCTGTTAATATAAACCTATAATTTAGGCTTATTACCTTAAGAACCTCTCCCCTATACTAAGAATAAAGATTAGGACGTTACACTATATCTCCCTTTTAAAGATTTAGTATTCTACCGATTAATTCCTAGTGCGTATATTCTGCTATATTATATCAATAAGTAAGGTTTGTATTGGTGGTTTACTTAGCTATGATTAAATGAATATTTGTCTGAGCATTGCTTAGAATTAATAAAGTCGTTGTGCCTATCTCTTTGCGGCTGACGTTTGTTGTATGATTCCGTCTGCTGCATAAAGCCCACCAGTCCATGTGGCTAATCTATTATTATGGCCGCTACGATTTCCTCGACATCGGTTCCCATCCCTAGCTCTAACGTAGCTACGATCCATTGGTGTCCCTGGCTCTCTGCCCATGCTGTTTACATCTGCTGCTTCTTTTCTTCTTCTTCTCGGCGTGGTAAAAGTTACACCCCATCTCCGCTGCGATTTCTTCTCATTGCCCTGTCGATCGACAGTTCCACACCCTTCTGGTTTCCTACAATCAAAGCACTGAGCCGCTGCACCGTCTGCACTACTTGACCCTCTATAGCCCACTTTCTTGCCTTTACATGCTCACCTTGGATCGGCAGTTCGCCTTTGTCGTCCTGTTTATATCGCCACTGCCGCCGCACCAGCATCTCCTTGGGGAACCAGTCCTCCAGCACACCCGTAGCGTCGCCATCAACATTACAAGCGGGTATCCGTACCGCTGTAGTCCCTTTAGTTGCCCCAGCCTTGGGTGGTATTAATGTCTGTAATTATAGTATAACATTCGTCTATGAATATCTGTCTGCGTACACTAACCCATTAGCGTATGCTGTGAACTCGGCGCCTGAAATCGTGTCTGCGTTAACGACCACCAGCCGTGCGCGGTAGGCTATCTCATCCTGCACTGAGATGTCTTGAACTTGATGCAGTTAATTCCTATCTCTGTTGCCCGCGTCATCAAGTATCTAACGGCGCTGAAAACAGCACTACCGCAATGCTCATGCCTGTATCCCGCATTACTGTGGGCAGCGTAAACATTTGCTCTTCCTGCACTTTGTTAGCAGTATGCAGATGGATGTACTTTTACATCTATTTTGCCTTCTTCCTTATGTTTCCTTTCAACAACAATAAATAAACAAACCGTAGTAACCGGTTACTTAATCCTTTGTGTTATGCCGTATAATTTAGCTATTACAATCCTTCTTTATATCTTTTCTTATAATGAATTGCATTTCTGATGACAGCAGATTAAGGCATGAGTAGAAAGGTCTGCGAAGAGGTCCAGAGGTTTGAGGTATTCGAAAAGGTCTATGAGGTGGACAGCTACCTGGCGATCGACGATAATGTTGACTGCAGGGTGACCCCTATCCGATCTGCCTCATCGGATCTCGTAGATTGTGTATATATGAGGTCCTGCCCCCGACTTTGTAACTAGATAACTAAGACCATTGATCAATATAACATTACACCCAACCTCACTTCAACAGATAACGGCAGCCAGAACGGCGGACTACATCTACTGCTGCTACTATAGTGGAGCCCCCTTTTTCTCGCAGGAGACATGAGACGTGTGCACGGACAAAAGGTGTATGATGCTGCGTATGCTATAAATATGCCACAAAGAGACAGGTCCCTTGTAAGTGGGTGGGGCCCAGGAATCACCAACTTTTGACCAATTTGGATGGGGCATTGGTGCAGTAGGCTTCTTATCAAAGTATCCAGGTGACTAACCTTGTCTTCTAAGACTTGGATAACAACTGGGAATTTTGTATGGATAATATAGTTACAGCAGAAGGAATATGAAAAGCAACCTGCAGGTTTCGGGAAACCAAATCCAGCCACAGTATGGTTGATGCCGCCACAAGTCTTGTAGGGGCGGTAGGCCCATGCCGCTGTAACGGCACCCCCTTGCCGGCAGCGGGCTATTGCCTTCAACAGTCAGACCAAGCGCAGCGGCGTGGACGAATGGCTAGTGATAGAGGCTTGCCTTTTAGTTATATGCTGGACACGACTCAGGTGGTCCGCGGGACCTCGGCGTGTTCCTCATCGTATTCATCGGCGACCAATAATACCCTGTGGTACTTTCCCCGTCCTTCACTCTTATCCTTGGCTTCAAGGGCTGCTGTTATTAGCAGAATTGCCAAGGTGGTTGCCTGCGCAAGCACGCGAGCCTGAACAATTTTCTGGGCTGCTGTAGTGTAAGGATCCCGTCGCATACGTTCGAGGCAGACCGCCATCGTGGTGGCCCATGTTACCCCAAGGATCTGGAGTTGGTGTTCGTATAGCCAATCCTTGGCTCGCTGCCCCTCGGATTCCCTCGCACGAATTTCGGCGGACACGCGCTGGCTCTCGTCCGCATATTTCCTTATTTCGGGATGCAGGCGCGATCGATAGGCGTGAGATCCCTCATTGGCGCCGATACTGGCCATGATCAGTCCAGGGTAGATAGCAAAGGTGCTTTTGATGTATAGTGGCAGTTGCCTGAACGTTGGGTAGAAGCGATGCAGGCCTGTCGTTGCTGCAAGGCCTAACGACATGCCAATTAGGCCGGTTCTGGCCCCTGCGTGCCAGATAGAGTCATAATACTCCTGCTCCTCGCTCCTGGCGATCACTTTCGCAATCATTTTCCCAGTCCGTAGTACGGAGGATGCGATAATAACTAGGAGAAACGCAGCGAACTTTGAAAGGGGGAAATAACGACTCTCTGGATTCCGTCGACCTGTTTGCAGGTCTAGATAAACATCCAATGGGTGTGTGCCCACATCTCCGCGACCGATCTTTGGCGAGGACGAACGGGGATGTGCTGTCAGCCACTGACGCAATCTAGATGACTGCCACGCCATGGCTGGACTGGCATCCGTCCATCATCATATGCCAATAATCATCTGGACTCGGTAGACGAAAAGTTTCTGGTTCTTATTAGGTTTGCCGATTTGCATGATGGAGCGAAATAAGACTGGCCTCCTCTTCGGACCAACGTGCCATACTCATCAATACTCATCTATTTATAAGCTACTCATTTGGGATATCATTTATCTCACTATCTTTGTATACTTTGCACAGTTGCATTCTCGTGTAAGGACTAGAGCAAACGGTATATCAGATCGGATCTAGCTACGCATAGGGCCTTCTAGCCCAGATCGGGGACGCCTGTGACCTAGACGAACCTCCTGATGAATACGGAAATCAACGGAATTCTGCTCAGAAAATTTCCTAGTCGAATAAAGAGAGGATATTCGTCTACATTGACATGTGTCTGTAGGATGTAGACTACTTCTGATGAAGAATAACAGCCGCAATTCTTAACTCATCCAACGAGGGGCGCGGCAATGGTGGCAACGCACCTGTATCTAATGACAGCATATGCGGCATAGCGACAGACTTAACTTGTGAGGACTCAGGGGCACATGAACAAGGATGTGCGAGAAAATATGGTCTCGCTTCGCCGTGGTGGTGCATAGAACTGTACACAACTTAGCGCCTGGCCATATGAGTTTAGTCTTCCCTGGAGTAATAAATTTCATTTATTCAATCACCCCTAGCATGCCAGCTATACATTCGTCTAAGGGCGACAGGTAGCTCAACGAACCAGCTCCGATTCTTTGCACACTGGCATCTCTGTTTATTCTACCTTAAACCAATCATTTACAGTCCTTACAATACCATAACTAGCACCCGCGGCAACGGCTCCAACAAAAAGAGTCTCTAACGATCCGTGGAAGGCGGAACAATAACCAACTCCAGTAACCAAGGATTTGACATATCCGAATACAGAAAGCATAATAGCTGTAGCTCCAATTGAAATGACCAGTGCCATACTGAGGTCCTCGACACCGAAATAAGGAATCATGGGGATCAGCCCGCCTTTCATTATTTCAGTAATAGTATGAAAGCGGGATTTGGATTTGATATGCTTACCTATGAAATATGCCATTCCCATTGTGAGAGCAGATATCCACGGTCGAGACCAGCTTGGGCGCTCAAGCTTAAGTTCAAAGTCCATCATGAACTAGAGACCTCAGCTTGGCAGCGTAGAAGGACTGGAGCACTCACTTTGACCCACGATTCTGGGTTCTGCCTAAAACTCTGGAGGATGGGTAATATTTCTTCTCTGCTGAGTCCATATTTTGTGAACATTGCTACCAAAATTTCGCCTTCGAAGTGCGGAGTCCCTGTAACCTGACGCTGCTCCCGAGCTTCCTCGACATGGAAGTGCTGGGCATCTGTAATCGTGGCAAGATATGCACCCAAGCCCATACTGATGGACCCGGCAAATAATTCTGCCAGCCCACCAAGAATGACAAGTTTTGTTGACCCAATTCTAATATCAACATCAGCTGTGACTCAGATGAAAGTGGAAAAGGAACCTACGAAGATAAGCCAGCAGTAACTGCGAAGGGTACTGTTAGGCCATCTGCAAGACCAATGATGGCATCGCGAATGAAGCCACTAGTTGTTACATGTCTCTCGAGCCTTTCTGACGACGCACCATCCAACAGCCTTGACTCTTCGAGCTGACCGGAATCAGACATTTTACAGCCTCACATCCTTTGTTATCATCGGTTGAGGATGGGACGCCTCTAATTTTCTACGCGTCGCATAAACCACGAGAAAGCATACAAGCAAAGAGAAGGTTCCATAAATTTACGCTTCCTCGATCTTTTACGTAGCTGCGGAATTACTACGATGATCATAAAATCATCATGATTTCATATCAATGTGTGGCGGGCCAATAGGCTCTTTAGGCAGTTTTGTGTAAGAAAGCTCAAGACCCATATGAAGGCGAGCGAAGAAGCATTTTAACAGCTTATAACTGAACAGCATATTTCACTCAAGTTGTGTGCAGCCATAATAAACACGTAAGCTGCCATATTGTTGATGACGCGTCAAAACTTGAAGATTTTTTACCAACATGTGATGTGGTCTGCCACCACCATGAGAGTTCAGCCACAATACCTCAAGTTAGGGCGGATAACGCCTGGAACCGGAGCATTCAGTGGCCGCATCATGCATGTGCTACCTGCTTGCAGATTTTGCGAGGCAAAGTTCGTGATTACTGGGTATCGGAGATTCTGTACCCTTTGATTTTGTCATCACTCAGCTCTCAGCTACACAGGCTCTACTGGTGATACGCACAGAGGTGTGATGGCGCGTGAGATACCATGAGGCAATGCAGCTCGAATGGAAGGCATGTCTGCACAAGCGACGGACTATATCGTTGTCCCGCATCACTTCTGGGCATATAACGCCGCATATATAACGGGAGCGGTCAGTTCACGAGTTCATTCTTCGTTGGGAATTGAACAGCCTACCAAGTAACAAATAAGTCGGGCCAAGCCAATTGCTCTCCTGTGCCTTTATGTTTCATCTCCACTTTCACTTGTTTATACGTCCTCGATGGAGCTATGGACTCTAAGCCGCTGTATAGCGCTAGTCTCAGAGTTTGTGCTGCTTAATGACTCTGCATCCTCGGAATTCGCTGGGCTTAAGAGTTGATTGCCTCTGATGTTAAATTTGTCAGTCGGCTGGGAGACGGCATACGCGTACATGGCAAGAAGGGTATAAAAGGCCAACAATTGCATGCATCAGCTTTTGGTTGTCGGTGCTAGCTGAGGAACTGTTCGGTATCTTCATGATTATTTGGGACCCGTCAATAACATCATACTGTTCTAGCTTTCCGAGCTTATGTGCTCTGCATCTTGGAGCTCATGGTAGGTGCAACTAGCCTAAACTTCCGACGTCATAAGTAAACGGGTAACATTGATAGAAGCACGTCATTCATTCGGGATAAGAGGCTATGTGAAATTACGTGGGGTGATGGCCTACGGAGAACAGCATCACATCATTTTCATTGAAGTCTTTCGATAAGAAGGGCGTGTGGCTAACTTAGCTAAGTAATAAATCGAGGAAGAATCTGGCCGGCTACAAATACCGTAGCACTCGTGTCAACCATATGAACCTGTGTTAACTTGATGTTCGAAGAGCAAGTAGCCCAACATTGTAGCCTCGGCTCAACGCCACGAAACTTTAAGTCACGCCGTGGCAACGATTGTGATAGAGTATCCTGAAGTGCAACATGAGGACAATTTGAGTTGGAATTACGATACACACACACACACACACTTTATTACGCCCGATGGAGTCTCCTCCAATAGGGCAACTATCAAACTGTATTACATAAAAATTACGATACTTAGCGCAATTAAATTTGGCTGTTCATGTTTTCATTGCTACGGTGGCAACAATGCATAATTGGGTCTACCTTGTTCGTAAATAATTTATAAGGGCCAATCGTCCCGGTTAAATAGGTGATATTATATTGCAAGTATTAACCTCTTTTTTACTATGAGATTATTAACTTATTACCTTGAATAGCCGTAAAAATAAAGACGTATAGCGTTTTAGAGAAGATCACCCCGCAAAATGTTAAACACTAAGCCGAAGGTCTAAAAGGAAGAAGACTTAACTCCCCAACAGAAAGACCGCCTAGGTGATATGGGATAAAACGAAGCCTGTGTCGATCCCTGGCACCGCGGGCCACCTGCTTTATGGATGGTGGGCGAGCCGTGCTGGTGGTAGCAGTATCTGTTTTCGGCTCTTGGCGATAATACTCCGACCGTAAGGACCGCTCCGTCCTCCAGTGGTACAGCCCTAGCTCCCCTATGGCCCATATTATAATCCATTTACAGCTTACACCTAATGCCTTAAGGATATTATAGTTAGCCAGTTTACAGGGCTGCGTGTCTTAGATTGGGAGCTGGATGGGTGTAACGTCCTAATCCCTATTCTTAGTATAGGGTAAGGGTTCCTAAGGTAATAAGCCTAGGTTATAGGTTTATATTAGTAGAGAGGATAGGGAGTAGTTTTTAAGCGGTTATAATTATAAATATATAAAAGTAAAATAAAAAGAGTAGTTTATATTTTATTTTAATATTTTATTAATAATTAATTATTTAAACTATTTAAATAATTATAATAAAATAAACTTATATATTTAGTTTTTTTTTATTATATTATTTATAGATTATAATAGTAATTTTTTAAAGGTATTATATAAAAGTAATTTTTTTATAATTAGTTAATTAATTTATAATTTATTTTAAGGTATATACTTTTTTGGCTTTATAAAAAGTTAAGTTATAATATAATACTTCTTTTTATTAACTTTACCCTTAAGGTTAATTATATATATAAAGTAACTGTTAGTTTAAGCTTATTTTAATTTATAATTATTTTTTTTTATTACTTTATATCTTTATATTAATATTATATTAAGTTATATTTTTAAGCTAATTATATAAAAAAATTATAAACGTTTTACTTTAGTAAATATTATTAAAAAGCTAAGTTTTTTTTTTATAGTTTGCTTTTTTTATAAAAAATATAGTATAAGTAATTAATATAAAATAATAAATAGTGTTTTTAAATATAAAAAATATATATATTATAGGTATTTCTATAATAAAAGTAAGGTTTTTATAAATATATATAAATATTTTATTAAGTAAATATTATTTTTATTAATATTTATTATAGTAAATTATATTTTTTTTAAATATAAGCAGTTATATATTAAAAAAAAAAAAGCTATAAAAAAGTTAGCTAAGTATTAATATAAGGTTTTTAAAGCTTTAGTTAAATTATTTTATATTTATATTTAATAGATTCTTTAGTATTGTAGGGCGTAAACATAGTTAATTATAGTTTAAAAAGTTTAAATAAGTTTAATAAAGCTTAAAAAACTAAGTTAAAGGCAGTTATTATTATATAAGCCGTTAGTAAAGTTGATATAATTAATTAAAATATAGTTTTTAATAATATAGTTAAAGGTTTTAATAAAACTTTTTTATTAATTTATAAAAGTTAAAGCTTTTAATAAGTTTTTATATATTATAAATAAATTTATATTTTTTTATTAAATTAAATATTTAATTTTATTATTATATTTTAGGTTTTAATATATAATAAGTACTTTTTTATATTTTAGTTTTATTTTTTTAAATATTTTAAGTTTATAATTAATTTCTTTAATTTTTTTTTAAAATTTTAAATAATTTAATTTTCTTAAAATTTAATTTATTATTTAGTTAATTTATTTTAATATTTAATATTTTATAGCTTTATAAATATTAAATTAAATAAATAATATTTCCTTTTTAAAAGATTAATTTTTTAATTTTATTTTAATTTATATAGTATTTTATAAATTTCTATATAAGTTTAAATTAAATATATAATTCCTTATATAAATTAACTATAAGTTTAATTTATATTTACGTTTTATTAATATTAAATCTTTTTTTTAAGATTTTATATATAAATAATCTAAATTTATAAAAAGTATAAAATAAAGTTAGTTTAATAGATTTTAATTTAAAATTATTATAGTATAATTATATAGTAAGTAGTTTTTTTATTTAATTATTTTATTTAAAATTAATATAATACTATAGGTATAATTTTATAATTTAATTTATTTTTTTAATTTATTTATTTATTTATTAATAATAAATAAAGCTAAGTTTATAATTTATTTTAAGTTTTACTATTAATTTTTATTAAAACATAAAAGTAAATATTTT